GTGTGACGCTGCACAAACAAGCATGCAAGATGTTGTCACAGTGGTCGGTTATATGGGTTGGTAATACGTTTCCGCAAGGTGACGCGGGATTGCTACGACTTTTGGCGGCGCGCAACGACTCAGGGCCGGCACCCAGAAGAATCCAGCTTCTTCCCTGAATGCCTCTGTCCGAGATTGCAAAGTAGCCTGCAGCAATGCACAAACCGCGCATCCGAACTCCTAAGCTTCCAGTCCGCTGGCCATGCTGGCCCCACCTGGTTCTTGGCGACACTATTCGATGCAGTTGGCTGGCCTAGTGGTAAAACCTGTGGAGCTGCGTTGCAATCATCTAGCCACCTCTGTGCAACTCAGATGCCGCCTCTGTCACAGGCTGTCGCAAGAAACTCAATGCCTGGCAGGATCGCGCACACCAAGGCAGCAACGTCTTTGAGCTTGTAATTTCAGGGGAACCTCCGCAGCGGAGCTGAACCTGTCTTCGGGCGCGGGTTCGAGCCTCGTGTTGGCGCTGGCGCATGCAGCGCTTTCGGCCAATCTTGATAGGTGCATGCGATGCTGGTATTGAATGCCGAGGCTTAGGCAGTCCTTCCAGTAACTTCAAAAACCAGCGCTCCTGCACTGCAAAGGGAGGCACTCCGAAATCACGTCCTAGCAATCCAACAAGTCCTTTCAGAGCATATGGGGTTCAACAGATCAATGCAGAGGCGGCCGCATAGAAGCTGGAACACAGCCCAAGATCACGGCATTGAGAACTGTACCTAAACACTCCGAGACCTGTCCCCCACCCTCATGCACCTGTCTCTCCCACACTGTGCCAACGAAGGCTGGGCGAAATTTGACCTGCCGGCACTTAGCATGAAAATCCAGTTGAGACAAGACGGAGATTGCATGATCTGTGATTGTGCCTTGAGGCGTTCTTGCGGCAGTGTCCCAGGCCTTGTCTTCTCACGGGTCCACAGGGTCGCCTAAATCGCCCAACAACCCTGTAAATCACCAGAACGCATCGTGCTCCGAAGAACCAAGCTTCTGTTTCAGAGTCACAAAACCAAGCTGCTCCAAACCCGTCGCTGCGTACAGCAGAGTCGCACCAACACCTGCAGCGAGAGCTGTGGAAGGCGTGACGGCGACAATCCACCAAGATTCCAGGGACCGAGGAGATCCGAGGAGCAGGCTGTAGAGGTCGGACCTGATGCAAAAACTCTGTTGCCGGTATCAAGTTCATGGAGTCTAGGCAAGCACAGCACTAGCATAGCCCTCGAGTGACCATGGACAAGACTGAGAAGAGTGCTTCGGGGTGAAGACCCGACCAAAAGACTCTGGTGCCATGTATCCGAAGGTCCCTTCCGCAGTTCTGGCAGCATCGAGTTTCGGACACCTTTGGCTCAAGGGTCCCGTGCCAAATGAGCCAGTGTCCTGGTTCCTGACCCGAGAACAGCAGAGCCGAAGTCGACCAGGTACGTGCGCCAGCTGTCGAGCGTGGCTCTCTCCATGCTTGGTGCAAGGGCAGTTCCGTGCCTGGTGCGCGTATCATCCGTAGATACTGCCTGCACAGGCTAACCACGGTCTGATCGTGTCTAGCCGTTTGGAGCAGTCACCTACGCTCATTTTGCATCCGGCTTTCCCTTTTGCTCTTCGACGTACCCAGATGATGCACTGTCTCCAGCTGACATTGTCATCCAGATCAAGAAAGGGAAAGCTGCCAGCACCTTACACATTGCAGAGTGGAAACTGTTGCGAAAAGCGACTTCTCGAAACCGAACATTGCTGAACAACCCCTTCGCGTGGGTTCGAGTTTCAGAGCTGAGATGCATCGCATGCACCCTTCTCGAAGGCGTGCATGGCATCCTGCCGATGCTCGCGGAAACGCTACAAGTGAGCCTTTAGACTCTGGACTCCGGATAGTGCACGAGCATCCTTGTAAGCGCTAGCGGCTACTGTAGTGAGCTCCGAGCTCCAAGCTCAGACATGTCTTCTGCTATTTCGACATTTATCTGCATGTAAACCAAAAACAAGGGCTAATGCATGTATCAGACGGTACGGCACAGTCACTCGACACTGTCACAAACAGAGCATCGGCGGAATGCAAACGTCCCCCACCTCTGCGGGAGGCGCATCGGCATTTGTTCCATGTACAGTTGCAGGCTCTTCGAGAAAACAAGCAGCATCTGCACGAAGCTGTCAACACTTCCAGGACGAGACCCCAATATCTTATGACCGCTTCGCTCATGCTGCACTCTTGCATGCTCGGATGTTGACTGATGTGCACGAACACTTCTGAGCACTCTCGCCAATACAAGCGAGCTTTCTAAAGCTGAGGGGTTTGGAAATGACAAACTACAGCCACACACATCGCTTGCGCGCACGCACGGGCACATCACAGACAGAACCACCGGGCAAGGAGCACAGACCACAGAGATTCATGAAATGGCCAGGGCAACCGGAGGTTTCAGACTTCCGTGGAGTGCATTGATCTGATCCCCGCCCGGATGTGGGAGTGGACCTTTCGATTTGACCTTCAAGGCCATTGCTTCTGCCGTCTGCTGCCGGGTTGCACTGCTGAGTTGTGGAATTCACGTTGTGCTGATCTCTGTTGCACGTGGTGGTGTCTGTCGGCTCCAATATTCGGCAGCACACCGACTCTCCGAACTGGAAGCCTGGAAACCTGTCATCAGCTTACGCTTTGGAACCTGTGCATGCAAATGTGCCATCCCCGCCGTCCATGCCGGCCCACTTCACTACAGGGAGGCCAGACCTGCTTGACAAATACTCCTTCTCCCTGCCCAAAACCTCCATTTGGGGGACTTTGCACATGCCTGGAATCATGCGCGTGCTACTGATTATTGCTGGGTACTGCATCGGTTGAAGCATATCTTTACTGGTAAGATGCAAAGGGGAGTCCTTCGGAGTACAGACAATCGGATCCTCGTGCATGTTGAAGCCTGAGTTTTGGACTTCACCATTGCTGCACATGCAGATGCTATGCTGATCTTTCAGTAGGAGCCTCCGATCAGCTGACGCCGAGTTGCTAGTATTGATGAGGCTATGCACGCCGGTCTTTGCCTCCTCAAGCCAGGGGAAGCGTTTGACAACATGCCGAATGTTCTGTTGATGTGTTGTTTCTTTCTTCCCGAGCAGCGTAGTGCACCAACACGTGATACGCTAGTCCGTCACGTTCGTCCACCACTTGTGGCCTCACCTGCTGATGTGTGCGAGGCTGATGAGTTCCATTCCAAAATTCTGCTAAGAAAGCTGAGTTGCTGTGTTATCCACATGCACGACGGCAGGGCACATGTTCTTCAACTCCGGTGTGGCTTCATAACCTCGATCTCACTTGTGTGGCTGAACACCACGTTTAACATGAAGAGGCGCACGCGCGCACGTAGACCTCATCATACCTCAACATCTAAGAGCCACGCACATCGTCATGTGACGCCCGGCTTCCAAGTCCTGCTGCAAGCTCGACAGAAACGCTCCGATCAATCTGCTAAAGCAGAAAGTCACCTCGGACCGGTTTTTTCGAATGGCTCAGGCAATCCCTCAGGAACACAATGTCGCTCCACTCTCTCAATGTATGCCAGCAGCGAGGGTTCGCCGCAGCCTTAAAACCACAGTCTCGCAGTCCTCGACAGGAAAGTCCGAATACGCCTGCCCAGCAAAACTTCTCAACGTCATTGGGGCAAATGGCATGTAGTCCGTCCGCCCCAAGCGTGCATTCCTTGCGGAAGGCTGCGTCGTTTGCCAAGACGGATGACAGGCAGCTTGACATATTTGCCACCCAGTGTCAAGTCTGAGTTGATGGCGGGATCTGTTGCAGAAGCCAGCAAAGAGCGATGCCCAAGGGCTCTCGGGCCAAACTCCATAGCACCCACGTACAGACCCACGACCTCGCGACCGGAGCCGGGCCATGCCGAACTGCAGTATCTGCATCTCTGCAAGTGAAAGTTTGTTCTCAAGGCTGGCACTTTGCCCCTTGCCAGATAGGCCGCCACCTCCGCTGCAAAGCCTTCCAAATCACTTATCTCCGACCCGCCTGGGATGCGAGATGACAAACATCATCGGTTGATAGCACAATCAAGCAGGTGGCCAGTGGCACCCTTCGTGCACCTGCCCTGAAATGGCAATCAAGACACCGAAGTCGGACACAGGCCGCAGAACGCCGCCCAGCCTTGATTGCTAGGACGCTGGGGGACGCACCTCTGACCGGGTTCGAGCACTGAAACCCTCAACGTTTATTTTGCTGCGCTGCAGGATGGGCGCGATCCAGCCTTCGCGGCGAAGACCCGAAAATTGGCAGGGCTTCGACTCGCTATTTGTACTTCCACGGAAGAACTGACAAGACGAGTCCTTCATCGTTTCGGACATGACATGACATGCCACCAATGCCGAACAGTGCCAAACACCATATTGCAAAGGTCGGTGTCAAATTGCGGGCGGTGTGCAGAGTGCGAATGGCTGCCTTTCAGAGCTGTCCCGGGAAGCGAAGCCGGCAAGGCTAGACGGAGTCGCCAAGTATAGCGAGTCTAGTGTCCAATCTTGATGGCGGGACATGCAGGCATGTGCTCCGCAAACAAATCTACGCAACTTCGCAAGTCCTGAGGATGGCAACATGCTCCAGCTCACTTGAAGGCGGGCTCACAGGGCAGACAAAATAAGCAGTCCTCCTGAACTGGCCTTTCTTTCCTCCCCTCGCACCCTCTGCTCTCACTCACGCTTGACAATCATGAGCTGTCTTCAGCTTCCGTGCATATCACCCCACATGTGCTTTGAACTTGTTTTGCCGACCAATCTAGCGTGGCAGCCTCGAGACTACTAGGATCAGCCAAGTCTCTCGGTAGAGAAGTCGGGTCCCAGGAAAACACTGCCTTTCCTAAGAGCTTCCACCGAAAAGTCGTGTCTTGTGAAGCAAATGCTACCGCAAAGAGAACCAGGACAGCGGCTGCAGGATGCGGTCAAGAGTCGGGCAGGAAACCTGCCGGCCTGCATCGGAAGCTGCCAAAGCCGCAGCTCCAAAACAAAGCCCTGCATCGCCCATGTTGGGATACACGAAGACCTCTGCACACGCAACAGCAGAACATGTCATGAAATGGTTTTGTTGGCTGCATCCCCGCTAGTCCCTGCTCCCTTTGCCTGAGTCGCATCCTGGAAATGCTGCCGTAGCCGCAGGTTCAGCCGTACGTTGGCGAAGACACCACCAGCAACGCAGATGTACGGCTTGACGAAGTTGTTCAAGCGCAAGTAACCCAGCAGAAGATCCTCTGTGAACATTTGCAATCCCGCGGCGACATCCTTCGGGTGGTGCTGCTGCAGCTCCTGGTAGAGAGCGAAAGTCCGAAGGTCTCGTCTTTCATGGGCTGAGCCCTCCAAGCTGGCCAGAAACAGCATGAAATTCTTCGTCTCCTCTTTTTGCCAGAAGGCTCTGATCCTCCAGAGGCCTCCATCTTCTACCAGCCCCATGACCTTTTCGAAGATACGCGCTGTACGACTGCCGTCCCCATGAGCAGCTAAGCCTGCACACAAGGAAGCGTGATGACACCTTATGCCTTATGCTAGTGTGATGCGTCACACATGTGTACATAGAGACCCGCAGTAGCTGGCAAGTGCTCAGACTGGCATGGTGCATCTGATCGTGTAATTTGTCGGGATTGATCTGTGGCAGCGAAGTTAACCTGTGTAGCGGTTGTCATCCAGTACTACAAGTAACTTACAGTCAGTTCCTGTTGGGAGCGGAGTCTCTTCCACACTGCGCAAGTGTTCCTCCAATGATTTGACTTGGCACTCACTACCGCATCTGCTGTTGACCGTGTCACACATTTGCCACATGCAAAATTCCAGAAAGTTCGTTTCTGGACGATGTGAACATGTTGTTTAAACGACTGTCTCTGCATGCAGGAACGCAGTCAGACCTTTATCGAAGCGAAGCATCAAGGTTGCTGCGCCTGTCAGCTTGCCCTCGTGACGGAAAGCTTTGAAACCCAAGGAGGCAGTTACGAAGGCCCAGAGCATACCAAGGCTGTCAAACATGGAAGTCTCGTCAAGGACCGCTGGTTTCTCCAAAAACTTCACAATCTTGCCAGATGCATAGTCTCCACGCCCATCCAAAGTAACACAACAGCAATCACAACAATCGGCTGTCAGGCGTGCCGGCCAGGCAAAGAAAGCGGCGGCGGCATGACAGCTGTGGTGATCATACATCTGCAAGCGTGCTTCAGGGATTCCAAGGGCTTGCAAGCCTGATCGGAGCCGCGCTTCCACGTTCAAATCTACGTCCCGAAATTTCGTAGCCATCCAACGCATGTGCTTTTGAACCTCCACCGGCTCCGCTGCAAGCCGCTTTGTCAGGTCTTCTCCACCGAACAGCCAGCCATGCGCGACGATGCTGATATCATTTGGGGCAATGTTTTGCGACTGCAAGCAGTATTCGATCGACCGCCTCGGGAAACATCCGTCATGCTTGCGACGACTGAAACGCTCCTCGTTGGCAGCGCATATTAGCGCGCCATCACGAAGCAGACATGCTCCAGAATCATGTGGTCCTGAAGTGAGACCCAGGATCCAAGCCATCCCTTCACATGTCCCTTCAATAAGCTTTGTGATAATGGCTGCAACATGCCTGCGGGAACTGTGCAACAAGCACAGGCATCAGAGTACTGAACCGCCATGGCCTCCAGCAAGATGTTCTGGGGCTTGATGTCTCTGTGCACCTTCAAGAACAGACATCCGCACGACTACTCTTGAGTCCCAAGGGACCCAGGGACCTTTGCGTGATGCCCAAAACCTGCCTTCGGCCTACACCTCGGGGTAGAATGAGTAATACGGAAACGATCAAAGACTACCTCCCACCATGCAGCATCTTGCATTCGAATCACACAACCCAAGCAAGCTGGCGCACAATCGGCGGGGCGAAGCTGGCCAGGTGGACACACACCTCGAACCCATTGCTGCTTTGGTATTGTTGTGCCATCTGCACTAATTGGCGCACACCCTTCAGTCCCCACTGCTGCACCTCCAGAAGGGTCTCTGCCAGCAACTTTATGTTGTCCACTGTTGCGACCTGCAAAGACAGTGACGATGTTTAAATAACGACGACTCTGCGAAGGCTAGCTGCTAGAAACAGAATTGGCGCGCGGCTCTTCGATTCGATTTGATGTGGGCAGGCGCACTGAGTCCGGGTCCCAACGACCACTGCGAAGCTCTTCTTCAAGCGTGTTGCCGTTGACAATATTGCACACCAGGCCTTCAGCCAGTCTACCAAATGAGGATGGCAAGACAGCGCAGCGTATGTTGTGTGTTTTTTTGTTTTCTCTGTCTGTCTTTTGCTCTTTCTTGGGGCATAATTCTTGTCGTTCGTTGTCAGGTGGGCATGTCGCCCCCTCGCTCATCTGAGCCGGTCTCGGAATGGAAAAGAGGTTGCAGGGATGTGAAGGGCTTTGCTGCCCCTGCTCCAATCAAGAAACCCAAAGCCACCTGGTGTCACAGCTTTCGTCGCCCGCACCCCCCAAAAGCAGGTTTTGCTCTCTGTCTTCCAATTGGAAACCTCACTGCCTTTTCATGACTATCTGCCAAGCTGCCGAAGTCTTGACCATTTGGACGGTCTCTAACCACGCTGCCATAGTATGACGGAACTGCTGGATGCCGCAGCCTTGCCCAAAGAGGAACCCGTAAAATCCCACAACATTTTACAAGTTGCAACCTCTGCAAGACCGACGATTCGCGCTCAAATTTGTCCAAAGTGGTCCAACCTTCCTGCTCAAGGCCAAAACTGATGTGAGTTGCTTGCCAAACCACGCAACAGCCCCGTCCTCCAGCCTGACGAGTTTAAGAGCCACCTTCTGGCCTGGCGACAAGTCCGGCACCTGTCCAGTGAGACCCGCTGAGACGCCGGTTCCGACACAGCTTGCAAAGCCCTAGTGCCGAGGCTTTGCTTGCGAAATGCCGCGGAATACGCAAGCAAATGTCAACGTCACTGAACCTAAAATTGCATAGTCACAGAAAGCTGCTCGCCTCGCACAGCTCACTGACGGTGGCCTTAACCAGCATTTGCGCAGTCAGCTGCCGTGTCTATGACCGAACTTCTCCACACGGGGAGGCCAACTTGTTACCACGACAAGGGCGCACGCTTTTTACCTACGATGCGTACAAAACCTTATCACAACAAGACAATGCATAAAAGCTTGACAAAGAAAACCTGCGTGAGTACCCGGAACTGTTTAAGGCGTTGAATCCGACCAGATTTGTGGCAGTCCTGGACGCACGGAAGAAACGCACGCGGCTCGACCCATGCAGGCTTGCACACCGATGCCCGGAACAGCAGAGCTATGCTTATCACTTCAGCGCCCCTGTCCTGCTGTACATCTCGGCGAAAAGCGGCCACTGCTCCAGGAGTTCACGGGCAAAAATCAACACGGCTTTTACCGAGAGTTCGACTTGTGGTTGGGAGCGTTCTAGATCCGGGAAATCCGCGATATTCAGCATCTGGACGTGGTTTGTCAACCCCAAGGACACCAGATCTCTTCGAAGGACCTTATCCCTGAAAAACCCTGCGGCGAGCTCTTCCTGTAAGTTCTTCCGGAAACCTAGCAAGGAGCTGGCCTCATCATACTTAACCCGATCGCCGGCCGCCTAATCAGCTCGGACGGTCCGCTCGAAGGTGTTCCCCGGCGAAGAAGGCCACATAGAACGGTCTTTGGTTTGCTATTGCCGAAGGCTCTTCATTCTCCACCTCTCCACCACCGCCGCCATTTTGCGGGTCAGGGATTGTTGCAATGGGAGTTGTAGGTCGCAAATCCGATCGCGATGATTCCATTGGCGCGAACGCTGGTGCGGGTGGCGTTGCCGGAGCTCTTGGACTGGATTAAACATGATGCCGGCAATGTTGGCAAAAGCGAAGAGGGTCAACAAGGGATTAAACGCTGCGAAGCGATGAAAAGCACTGGCACGGAGGCACGTGTGTTAAGCAGGCTCTGGATGCGAGGCAAACTGCAGAAACAAGCTGAAAAGCTTTGCAAGCCATAGAAGCTCACGTGACGCTGGTGGTCAGGCGCTACGTTCTGTTCTGCTGTGGCGACTGTGCACGCTACGGCTGCACTGCTGCCGCCGCGGCCACTAGGTCGCTACTTCCAAGCCTCAATTGCAATGAATATCAAAGATGGCCTAGACGCATCTGTACCTGTACACTCTCTTCAATTTAGACTTCTGCAAGGTGCAGGAGCGTCAAAACCCTACCAGGAGCAACCAGCATCACGCTAGCAGAGCTTCGCCAAGGGACCTTTGTACATCCCTTCGACCGTCGCCATCCAAGCCAGCACACCAAGGTCTTCGATTGCCTTCGCTGCGACTCTTTCCAGAAACGAACACAACACAATCGGAACAAAGCAAGGTCGCAGAGACAGAAGGAAGCAATGCAGCCAGGGCTTCCACATGTCGTCTCCCGGCTGTCAAGAGCTTGGCTTACCTTCGTTGCGATCTTCGCTGTAAGAAGACAACAGAGAGAACCAAATCAACACCGAACACGCCGGCAGTGCGGCAGAACCCGCGGCACGGGTCTAAGGGCAGGGCCTCTGGCCAATGAAGCTCCAAATCGTAGGTCTCTCGAAACGCCAAGCCGGGTCGGCTAACTGTCGACCAAAGCCAGGTCGATGCAGTTAATGGACAGCGGCGGCATGTGTGGAGGCCTTGGAAAACAAGTCGCAGGGCTTGTGGTCAAAATCCCGTGAATGCAAACAACGGCGCGGAAGAACGGTCAGGGGTTCATGGCCAAGCAAAGGAGAGGCAGCACTTGTGAGTCGCGCATCGCAAAAGAAAAGCGGCCACGCTCCTGGGCGGACAGAAGAACGCCGCGCAAAGCGTGCACGGAATTCTTGGGATATAAATGGGATTTGTAAACTGGAAGTCAAGAAGAACACTGATCTTGCAACTGACAGCATGTAGGAAGCCTTTAAGCCCTTTAAGCAACATGAACCAGCCATCTTTGCACTTCAAGGTATGCCAGGGAAAGATCTGCTGCTCAGCTTCGGTGGAATTGCCAGGCAAAGGGCAGCAGGATGTGGACCCAGCAGTGGTTTAGTGGGCCGGGGCAGAGAATACAATCGCGAGCAAGCCCTGAAACTGCAACTGGCTAGGGGCAGCCCAAATCCGACGCGGTGCGGCGAAGACGACACCAACTTTTGTGCTGCAAAGCTGCCACGGGCTTCCCAGGAACGAGCCTTAGATACAGGAGTTGTCATGAAGATGCTTCGAACACACCCTCCTACCTGTGTGCGCACAGGTATCCATACTTGTGTCTGCGAAGTGTGTTTGTGGTCCATCTGAAATTGTCCTTCACGTGGACGCCTGTAGCTCCGCGGCACTCTGCCGCCGACACCCTTCCCCGGCTGAGCACCGAAAACCAGGCAAGCTTGCGGTGGAACTCATGCCCTGAAACACTAAAATCTTCAGGAGGAGCCGCGGCGCCCTGTCCGAGGAGCGACGGTTCGGAGACCCATATCCAACTAATGGACGAAGGCCATGTGCAGATATGAGCACATTTCCAGCAGGTGGAGGACAACTTGGAATTACTTGACTGCGTTCGCCTACGCAGAAGCACTACCTTGAAAATCAAACCCGCGCAGACAGGCCCCAAATCCTCGGACCGCTTGGATGAACATAGTCAATGTCGGCATGGGGGAGGAAAGGTCCTCAGACATGAAATCGGAAAACGAATGCGTGCCAGGTGTGAATTAGGCATGTGACAATAACAAAGGCGATGCAAGGAATATGGGTCAGCGGCCCACCAAAGTACGGATGTTTCGCCAAAGGAAGATGACGCATGCGCCACGCTTTCCTGACAGAGACAAGGAATTTCGCTTCGCGGGGCCTGGATTTGTGCAAATGGTTCTGAAAACCAGGTTTCGGACCCGAAACTGATTTCTTGGAAAGCCTGCTTACGCCTGACCCGGAACGCACAAAACCAGTTTGGGGACCCGAAACTGATTTCCGCAGTTTGGGGACCCGGACGTGATTTTAAACGAGCCTGCTCAAACCTGACCCGAAGCGCCGCGCAGCGTGCCTTCGAGGTCCAGTACGACCATGTCCGTGACGCAGCAAAGCTTTAAAAACCGAGCCCAAGTGGCTTCTCAAGCGAAGTATAGGACAAAAAAAGAAAATACAAAACAAAGAAGAGGATACAAACTCCTGGCAGAGGGACAGGCGGACATGCAAAGTCCTTACATTTAGTCTATACCAAAAAACGTAAAGAAACTAATACGTAGTAGAGAAATTAACGAAAAAGAAAGTTGGTGCGCCCTTCTCGTGGCAACAACATGGCCTCTTGGAGCGGGAGAGGGAGAGGGAGGAAGGGAGA